GGGTAGTAAACCGAACCAACTAAATTGGTAAACGTTACAGGTTGCCTTTAGTTGATATAGGATTAATAGTACTTTTAACTTGACTTAATTTCCTTTGAAGTCAGCAGTGATGTGGGTATCCATTGTGTATAATGCATGATTTTTCTAATTTGCAGACCATGAAGACTATGACCCACAAACTGTGAGGCTGGGAAGTAGATATAGTCATGTTCAAGAAGTCCAAGAACGGCTTAACTTCCTTAGGTTTGTTTTAAACAATTAGTGTTGTTCTTTTTAAGACAGATAAAGAATGCCAAGTTAATATGCTGTACAGCTAGGTCTTTGTTGACCCTTGCCACCTTTTATTTTCCTATATGGAAGTCACAGGATATTTTCCTGTGTGTTCATTATTAAATATTTTTAAATTACTGGCTCAGTTTTAACTTTTCTCTTTACAATATTTAAAGAGAACATACTTGAAGCTTTTATATAGACTTCTGGTCTTCGTATTTATACTGGAAATATATTTATTTTTAAAGAACAGATTTCCATATTTTGACACAAACAGCTGGAAAACCATACTGCCCTTAATGATATCATAGACCCTAGGGAAATGGGGGCAAAAAGAGTGCTTTGAGTTGTCTGGTGCCTTGTTTTATCCTAACAGTGGCTGATGAAGATAGTCCGGAGTCATGTGTTAATATTATTCTGATGGGGATAAAGAAAAGAGGTTTATTTCATTAAGCCAAAATTAAATGTAGCCCAAGGCTTGATTTGCTCAGTGATGGTTAGCTTTCGAGATTACACACTTACAGATTTGAAATTGTTAAAAAATTTTTGACAAGAGGTTTCGTGTGAATTCAGAAACAACATCATATAGCAAAAGAGCTTATTCAGATCATAAGTGTGCTAAGGGAAACACCCAGATTGTCAGTGCTTCAGAAAATCTATTGCACTTATTTTGATACACTGGGGAATTTCCTTTTGGGCTACATTAATTATAGACTTAAATTTATTGAACTGTGTGCTTACTTGGAAACATTTATATAAGTAGTTACATTAAGATTTTAACTTGAGGGAAAACTCTAGACACCAGATTTTAAGAAATTTGGCATTTGTTTAAAGTGACGTGGTTTTGTGTATGTATGTGTTTCGTTTTTCAACCATCTGGATGGAAGGACTTGCCTCCCCAGATTGAGAATCACTGCCATGATGAGCCATTATTATTCATGAATGTGTGCTGTATTCAGATTGCCTAGAAAAGTGGTTTTGCGCTCTTTTGATTTAATAAGAAAACCAAGATTCACATGGTTTAAACTAGGTTGTTTGAAATCTCACAGCCAGACAGTATCTAATAGCATTGCACCACTCAGCTAGATGAACCTGGCTTCGGTCTATGCTCTTTCTTTTAGACTAGTGATTTTTTCAAACCTACCTTGGAGCCTTAGGGCTTCCGAGGACCTTCCTCCAAGATTTCTAAACAAGCAGTGGAGATCTTATCCCCATTTCTCCTTTATTTCTTCCTCTTCCCAAACTTTAGCAACTGTGCTTTTATTTTTATACATTGGCCTTCCAAATGGAATTTTTGCTTAAAGAAAGTTTTCTGCTTATGTTTTTTAAAAAACAAACCAAAGAAAGAAAACAAAAACAGCCACATTTTATCACATTGGACCTCAGTTTCCAGAGATGACAGTGTTTAGTTAGGTAGGACTAGGGTGCTATAAGCCCTCTTTAAGCTCAGCAGTCCTAATGAAAATATTAAAGGCACTAGAGTTAGTATCTCAAAATGCTTTGAAATGGAGAGGGAACCTAGTGACATTAAATACATTCACTGTACTCTGTGATTGGTTACAAGTCACCATTATATTAGCTAAATATTAATGTGTTAAGTTTTTCAGAATAAAATGAAGTATTCTTTCTCTGTCACTCAGAGATATAGTAGACAGAGTGGGTGGATGAATGCTTAAAGAAAAAGAAAGCTAACCAAAAGACTTGTTGTAACAGAATTCACCATTATTGTCTGTCTTTAATGAGTAAACCAATAGTCTCAAAACTAAAAAGACCCTAGAAAAGATCACTGAATAATTGATAAGCATCCTGTTGAATTCTGACATAAAAAGTTCAAGTCATATGTAGGTTATTGTTTAATATGACCAAGTACTAAGTGATGAATATTAGATCAGATCATCAGCAAATATTAAAATTTAAGCAGTTTTAACTCTCTACTGTCAGTGAGTTGGTTATCTGTGAAAGTCATGTGGTAGAATACCTCTTTCTCCAGTGATATCATATAAGCACAATGCTAAAACTCAACCTATTAAACATGCTTTCATAATGGCTGGTTTCAAAGACTAAATTGTTTGATAAGTTCAGGGAACAAATCTTTTATTCGGTTTTAGGTCAAATCACCTAGCAGAGTTCCTGGCATGTTGTAGGTGCTTAATTATGAGCTCATTGAATGAATTAATATCTAGTATTTTTTTTAGTAACAGATAAAAGTTGAGAAATAAGTTTTTTTAAGAAGATAAAGAATGGACATCTTTTTACCTGTAGTTAAGATATAATTGTGATAAATGGATTACTTCCCATATATGCAGATTGCCTTTCAAGATAAAAATTATATAGATCTAATTCTAATCGCTAATTTTTTGTTTTTCAAGATTTTTACTGAAGGATGGCCAGCTGTGGCTATGTGCTCCTCAGGCAAAACAAATATGGAAATGCTTAGCGGAGAATGCAGTTTACCTTTGTGATCGTGAAGCCTGTTTTAAGTGGTATTCCAAGTTGATGGGGGATGAACCAGACTTGGATCCTGATATTAATAAGGACTTCTTTGAAAGCAATGTACTTCAGCTTGATCCTTCTCTATTAACTGAAAATGGAATGAAATGTTTTGAGCGATTCTTCAAAGCTGTGAATTGTCGAGAAGGAAAACTAGTAGCAAAAAGGAGAGCATATATGATGGATGATTTGGAGTTGATAGGATTAGACTACCTTTGGAGGGTAAGTGAAAAGTGGGAACTTTGTAAGCATTGTATCTGATGTAGTTTTTCAAATAGGTAAGGAATCAGTTTTACATGTGAATTGTATGTATATATGCTGCTCTGATGCTTATCCCAGGAGGTAATGACACTTCATCTTTGTCCTATTGTGTCTTTTGTCACAGGGTTTTTTCATCTCTCTCTTTACTTCTTCCTTCTGCCACTGATGTTCTTTTTGTCTTGGCTTAGAATCTGTTTGTTCTGAATGTGTTTAGAAGTACATTAAACATACAAATCTTTCATGCCTCTCCATGGAAGTAATTTTCTTCCCTTTTTTTATTCAGTGTAGATCTGTTTCAGTTTTAGCTTATTATACGTTTAATATTAAAATAAATAGAGGACAGAAGAGAAGGCTTCATTTAGAAAGGATAATGAATGTATTACTTTTATCAGCTCTGTTTAAATTGTGATATTAAATACCTGAGGGAGTAAAGTGTTACCTATTTTAAGGCTAATGTTTTCACCTTTAGTATTAATATATATCTATATTTTTTATTGAGATATAATTGACCTACAATGCTATATTAATTTCAGGTATAACAATATAATGATGTGTACATATTGCAAAATGATTACCACAATAAGTCATTAAAATCTTTCACCACACAATTTTTTTTCCTTGTGATGAGAATTTTTAAGATTTACTCTTTTAGCACTTACTCTCTTTCAAATAATGCAATATAGTGTCATTAAACTATAGTCACTATGTTGTCCATACGTCCCCAGGACTTAATTTATTTTATAGCTGGAAGTTTCTACCTTTTTGAACCCCTTCACCCATTTGGCAACCACCAATTTGTTCTCTGTATCTATGAGTTCAATTTTTTGTTTATGTTGATTTTATTTTTTTAGATTCCACGTATAAGTGAGATCATACAGCATTCTGACTTATTTTACTTAGCATAATGCCCTCAAGTTCCATCCATGTTTTTGTAGTATAGTATTAATATATTATTCCTATCTTTAAAAAAAATCTGACCTGTTCACAGCAATTTATATTGTTTTTGGGATAAGAAATATTTTTCTGAAAATCATAGACAAAGATTCAGTATTTGATTATTCAAACTTTTCATTAAGTAAGTGGTTTTCAACATTTTTAAACAGGAGAAACCCTTTTGAAAAATCAGAATTTACACAGTATTCCAAAATGTAAAACTAGTTGAACTGGGAGCCTGTTTTTTCTTTTGACTTAGTCTCCCTGTGCTTCACCCCCTTCCCCTCCCAAGCCTATTATAGGGATCATCCCTAACTCTTTATCACTTCTGGAGTTATGCACATGGTTTGAAACTCACTGATATTAGATGAGTGATAAAGATCTATAGAAATGGCGTGGGTGGCCCTTTATGCTAAGATGTTTTTCATATAACCTTTTATTTCTTTTAAATAATTTGAATTCCTTCTTTAGTGTCTCACTACTTGGTTACCAAGGTATTGAATTGCAGGGTTAAATAATACTGATCAAAGCATATTTTATTCTTAGTAAAATGTTTCTTCCATTCGTAAACAAATTGCTTTATTCAAAGACGAGTTTTGCTTTCATTGTATTTGTGGTCTGTTTTCTCACTTTAATTTTACTTGATTTACTTAATTATCAAAATCAATGTTCTTTTTAAATTATTGAATACTGTATTAAAAATAACTGAAAGTATAGTTTGAATTGAAATGCCCAACTGAAATATTTATTGAAAGTATTTACGCTTGAATCTTTTTGAACCTAGGTCGTGATTCAAAGCAATGACGATATTGCCAGCAGAGCTATAGATCTGCTTAAAGAGATATACACAAACCTTGGTCCAAGGCTACAGGTCAATCAGGTGAGGACTGACATGTATTAAAACTTCCACAAGTTTGAATTCTTATGAAGAACTCTTGTTTATAAAAATTTTTTTCTTGGGGGAAGTAATTAGGTTTATTTATTTTGATGGAAGTACTGGGGATTGAACCGAGGAAGAATTTCTTTCTTTAATTCAGAATTAACTAGAAATTGTTTTTGTTTCAACTCTCATTAAAAACATATCTAAAACATTCAGTCCATATTTCTCTTACACAAAATGCTATATGGAAGAGTCTTATTTTGATACTTATCTTGAAGTGATTAATTTGCATATAATTATGACAAGAGATTACAGCTGAATCTCTTGATTCTAATGCCTAATCCTGAAGTTCATTTTTTGTGTATCTAATTTATACTAATTTACGTAACTTTAGCTTCTTTTGATGATACATAGTGTCTTTCGTTATCAGTATAGACTCTAGTTAAATATGATCATGGTTAATTGAGATCTACATTTAAATTGTTGCCATCTTTAATTAGATTACTGTTACATGTGTATATTTAATTTTTACTTTGGAAAACAATTTGAACTGTCTTTCTTTGGCCCATTATTTGTAGGTGGTAATCCATGAAGACTTCATTCAGTCTTGCTTTGATCGTTTAAAAGCCTCCTATGACACATTGTGTGTTTTGGATGGTGACAAAGACAGTATTAATTGTGCAAGACAGGAAGCTGTTCGAATGGTTCGAGTATTAACTGTGTTAAGGGAGTATATAAATGAATGTGACAGCGATTATCATGAGGAAAGAACAATTCTACCTATGTCAAGGTTTGTGAGTAACTGATCTACTAGTGCTGCTTAATTATTTGTTATTTTCCTAGCCATTTGAGTTTTTTAAAGTGATGTATAGGAAGAAGAAGAGTTATGAAACATTTCATTTTTGCAAATATTGGTGTCTTGCCTATTAAAAACATTATTTATATCATACAGAATTTTTTGTTTTGTTTTCTAGGATCTGTCTTGTTTGTTTTTGTTTTTACGGTAGGGCATTCTCACTCATTAAGTCTAGTTTCTTTTTATTCTGGGTTTTTTTCCCCCATTGACTATATTACTTATTAAGTGTTTCCAGGGGTATTTTGCAGTTGAAGTGTTTTGGTACCATTCGTTTACACTGTTAAAGGAATAGCATAGTCAGACCGCAGAATAATTGGAAAGAACCCCTAAAAGGTGCTTTAACAGATAGCCAGTATAGCAAGATATATTTTCAAATGGTCTACTAACATTTCTCTTTTTTCTTCCAGTTTTATTGAGATATAATTGACATAGAGCCTTTATAAGTTTAAGGTGTACAGAATAGTAATTTGACTTAGTACGACATGAAATGATTACCACAAAAAGTTTGAGCGACATCCATCATCTCATAGATACAAAAGAAAAGAAAAAGAAAATACACTCTTGTGACGAGAATGGGATGCCCCATTCCCTCCTACCCACCAAAACCACAAGTCTGATCTCTTTTTCTATGAATTTGTCGGATTTTAAAGTATAATTGATCTACAACACACACACAACATAATGATCCGATATTTCTGAACATTATATAACGATCACCATAAGTCTAGTTACCGTCTATCACCCCGTGACTCATTTGTTTTGTAACTGGAAGTTTGTGCCTCTTAAAATTGCCCTCAACTAATTCACTAATCTCCTCATCTGCTAACCTTTCTCTTAAGGTCTCACCATTTAGTAAATTCAAATAGTATGTATACCTTAGAGATATTTATAGAATGAGAGCCATTAGTATTTTAAGAGTTCTCTTTCTAACCATGGAAATTATTTAAATTGCTCCTTGAATATTATTTTTATTTTTTATCTTACCTGCAAAAAGGTAATATGGTAACATCAATAGCATTTTGGGGGTGAATTTTGATATTAAGAATTTTCAGAAAAAAAGGTACATCTTGAAATTTTTGTTTATATTCTCAAGATAAATTTTATCTTCCACATTTTAAAAATAGTCTTAGTTGGGCTTTTATAGCATAAAAACAAATGAAATGTTGCTTATGTCTCTGTTTTAATGTCTTGTAGCTAGACACCTATAAACCATAGGTACAAGAGTAACAACAATGGAATATGATGGTTGTGTTTTGAAAATTACTTAAAATAATTGTAGTTAAAAGGAACAGTAAATATTTTCAAGATCCTGAAAATAATGTGTCCTTAACTCACTTTCTCTTGTTTAATAAGAAAATATTCAGTTAAATTCCTAGCTTTATTTTCTTTGCAAGAAGATTTGAAAGTCTGCTGAATATGATGATGTTTTCCCCTTTTTTCCCCCCAGAGCTTTCCGTGGTAAACACCTCTCTTTTATAGTTCGATTTCCAAACCAGGGCAGACAGGTTGATGACTTGGATGTATGGTCTCATACAAATGATACAATCGGTTCAGTACGACGATGTATTCTCAATCGTATCAAAGCCAATGTAGCCCATACAAAAATTGAGCTCTTTGTGGGCGGTGAACTGATAGATCCTGCAGATGATAGAAAGTTGATTGGACAATTAAACTTAAAAGATAAATCAGTAAGTATCTATAATAATCAAACTTTTCAAGAAAATCAAACCTGGGACTTTGATTTTTAGTAGTCAACATTTCATTCAATAAATGTTAACCTAGGATCTGTTATGTGTGAGGCTGTATATTAAGTGTTTGAATTATAACACTAAATAATACAGGCATTATGGTACCTACAGTACAGTAGAGGAAAAGTTTTCTAGACACGAAACTATTTAAATGATTGTGTTAAGCAACACATATTTCTAAAAGTGTAGCATGTAGTTTTTTGTTTTTGTTGATAGGTCACTACTTCTGTTTTGTGTATTTTTCATTGTCTTTGATGCTAAAATAATATATCATTTTCAGCTGATTACAGCCAAACTTACACAAATAAGTTCCAACATGCCTTCAAGTCCTGATAGCTCTTCTGATTCTTCAACTGGATCTCCTGGAAACCATGGTAATCATTACAGTGATGGTCCCAATCCAGAGGTGGAAAGCTGTTTGCCCGGAGTGGTGAGTAGATAGTTTTGAGTTACTATATGGAAGGCATTAGGCTAGATTCTTTGAGAGTAAAGTACACAGAATAGTTCTTTTTTCTTGAGCTTATAATTTATTGTAGCAAAATATCAAATAAATGTACAGTTAACCATTAACTTCAGAATGGATCCCTCTGAGAGGTGATTGTAACTTGGTTGAAATTTAAAGCCACATTTCTGTGTATAGTGTTATATTTACATAAAACTAGCCTATTACACAATTTAATTATAACTTTTTAATATATTGATAAAAATGCCACTGTATTTTGTATTTGTGCCACAAAAATGAATTCTTCAGAACTGTTTCTGTAGGTAAATATTACAGTCTTTTTCAGATTGTGAGTAACATACCGTATTTCTGAAGAAACATTGATTACTCCCTTCCCTGCCCTCTCCTTCCATCTCTCCCCACAAGAATTTTAATGGCTACAATAATATTAGCCACTCCAGTGTCAGAAGGATTGGCTCCTTACAATAGTTGATTCGGGAATTTTAACTATTAGTGGGCATGGCAGCCATTTGTATATACAGAGTCTAACTTGTATGTGTGAGAAGAATAGTTTAACAAAATAGTGAAAAGGCTGTCACACAGAAATTACTGGAGGTGGCTTGGATAATATATTCAGTCTGCATCATGAAAGATTTGTAAAGGTCAGAAGATAGGGAAGGCAAGCCATTTTAGGGTAGAAATGACAAAAGCAAAAGTGTGGAAATTAACAAACATTTATTTGGGAGTTTTTCTTTTGGGGTGGTGTAATATACAGGTGAATATTTTGTGTGTTCTGTATTCTAGATAATGTCGCTGCATCCCAGATACATCTCTTTCCTTTGGCAAGTTGCAGACTTGGGTAGCAGCCTAAATATGCCACCTCTTAGAGATGGAGCAAGAGTACTTATGAAACTTATGCCACCAGGTAAGAATTTTCTTTTTAAATAATGTTGATAAAGTACATGTTGGACTGTAACAGGGTATATTAGCAAAATCTGTTCCTAGATGGAAAGTGATAGGAGTTGGCAAACTATATAAGCTCACAGGCCAAATCTAGCCCACTGCCTGTTTTTGTACGGCCCAAGAACTAAGGATGGTTTTTATATTTTTAAGCTGCTGAAGGAAAAATCAAAAGAATAATATTTTGTGACTTAACGAAAATTAAATGAAATTTAAATTTTGGTGTCCATAAACAAAGTTTTATTGGTGTACAAGCCATACTCGTTCATTTACGTACTATCAATGGCTTCTTTTGTCTTAGCACAGCAGTAGTTGTGGCAGAGACAATATGGCTTGCAAAGCCTTAAATATTGACTATCTGGGCCTTTACAGAAACAGTTTACTGACCCCTGGACTGTGTTTTGGATTATATGTCATCTATAGCATTGTTCCTTTTTTTTAAAAAAAATTAGATTTGTTTATTTTTAACACACATGCTATGCATTCACTCTACCGCTGAGCTGTACCTCCCCTTGAGCATTGTTCCTTTTTTTATTCCTGGGAAACAGCTACTTTCAATTTGTAGCTTTTATTCTTACCATCTGTAAATAATACCTCATATAACTGTTTATGTCAGTTTTAGATACCTACTGGTTTTCTGTTGTGTAAATGAAAATTTATCTTAATCCCACATCCTTTGAACTTTTTCTTAAATTCATATTTAGCATTTACTTTTTCCAGAGTATGTGAAAAGTATTTTGCTGGATTAACGACAACTTTTTTTTTTAGAACTTAATATTTCCCCCTTTTCATTTTCTTGATTTTCTATATACCTATCGCTGATTCTTCCCACATATTCTCTAATAACCTCTCAAAATAATTTTCTGTAATTATGTGTATTGTATAATCTTGGCTCCACTGTTGTCCTGGAACTTTTCTCCTTCCTCCTCTCTTCTGGTTGTTTACTACACAGCTACCATTTTTGGGCTTCTTTCCTCAACTTTCCTATGGCAGATCCCTATTCACTGGCTCCCACATCTCAAGCCTTTCTTGAGCTGCCATCTCATTTTGCTGAAGCACACCCTCCTGCATTTATTTCAGAAAGAGTACATGGAAGGTAGTTTTGGTTTTTGTTTTTGAAACATTACTTACCTGAATGGTTAACCCTCACATTTGATGAGTAGTTTGGGTATAGAATTGTAGGTAGAAAATTTACTCTTATCTAGCTGGTAACATTGGTATGAAGACCAAAGTGCTCCTGAGTTCTGTTCCTTTGCTTTTGATTTTTCTTTCTGGAAGTTTTGAAATTTGATGATGAGATAGATGCCTTTGAGCAGTCTGTTTTGTGATGGGTATTCAGTGGGCCTGGAGATTTCCTAATTTGTGGGAGTTTTGTGTTCTTTGCTAATTTTTTTCCCAGTGTTTTGCTTTTTGTGGGTCTTTGAAATGCCTGGCTGTGGTGTTGAATCTACTAAATCTGATTTTATCTTTTCTTTTTCCTTTCTCTCATTAATTTTACTCCAGCTTTGGGGTGATACCTTTAACTTTTTCCAGCTCTTCTATTTACTTTTTGCCCCCCAGATATTCCACTGTTAAATTTTGAAGATCTTCCTCCAAGTGATCCTTTTCCATAAGATTTTGTTTTTCCTTGAGCACACGTTTCAGTGTTTCTGCTCTAATATATATATGTGTTTTCCTCTAAAACCTAACAGTCTACAAAATTATGCACTAAAAATAACAGAGCTTGTGGAAGAAGAGAGACTTGGACTGGATCATTCAATCCTATACAACTTAAAAAAATTTTTTTTGTTTTAAAATTTTATTTGGAAACTTTTACAGCCTTACAGAAAAGTTGGAAGTACAATTCAAGGACTTGAAGGACCATTTGAGAGTAATTTGCTGGTCTGATGTCCCATCATCCTTAAATACTTCATTGTGTATTTCCAACAGACAAGCATGCTGGCATTCTACTATAATCTAGAGCTTTGCCTTCTCCTATATAAATTATATGTTACCGCTATTTATTCGTGGATTTTTATTTTATCCATTGGGTTATAGCCATTATAATCATTAGTTATTTTGATGCTCAGTTGTTCCTGGTATGGTCAGTGGATGGACCCACTGTTTTTTGTTTTTTGTTTTTTTTTACATGAATCCAGTGCCTTTTTATACAGCTTCATCATCTTTTGAATAGTTTTTACTTTCTGGCACAAGGTATTTAAAATTTATCTAGAACTTTCTTTATTCCAACCTTAGAATCAGGCATTTCTCCTTTTAGTGAAAGGATATTTAGAACCAGCATCTGAGGGCTAAATTGTGGTCATTGCTACTGGGATGTCCTTGTTTTCCAGGCCTTTTGAGTTTATACTGGTACTAATTAAAAAAACCAAACATGAGTTTATACTAGTACTAATCCATCTTCTTAGTCTTTCTGTATTTCATAGTTCTGTCTGATCTCTACATTAGTGAGAAATCTGCTTCTGAAGCTCATCAGTCTGTTGGGGAGGGAGGTGGGAAAGAAATTTGCTTGTGCAGATTTCAGCCACTCTATTTTCAGATCTTTAATTCATCTATACCTTCTCAAATATATTTTGTTTTCATATCCTTAGCCTTTCTAGGATTTCTTGGGGTGCTTATTTATAGGTACTGTTCCCCTTTTCTCTTACCCCATGAAAAGCACTTCTTGATTCAGCTCAGCCAGATATTTTCTATCCCCCCTACACCTTCGGTAATTTACTGGCATCTCTGATGTTCCTTTAACTCCTGTTTCTTTATCCTTTCGAGTTTTTTAATATTAATTCTCCTTTTAATGAGATTTGTTGATGCATTACTGATAAATGCAATTCAGTAATTGGCCCAGGTAATTCTTAAAACTGTAATGTATTTACATTATCTCCTTTCTCTAAAGTAGACACCATGTTGATCTTTCGCATCTTGCTTTCTGATTCATAAGATACGGAACCAGTTCAGATATTAATTAGATTCTTAAATTAGGCTTTTCTTAATGATTTGATTTTAATATAATCTATATCCTTTATCTGTATTGTTTGGAATTTGTGTTGTTTTATTTACTAGTATCTGAGTAACAATTGTAGTTGTTTTATGTATGCAAATTATAGTTTCACAACATATTTGAAAACAAATCCATCTCAGCATCCCTGATCTTGTGATTTGAGCATAATGCCACCAGGTGGCGAGAGGGATCTCCTGCCTGGCAGCTCAAGCAGGAAACTTGAGAGTGCTTTTATCATATTTTGTATAATCAAAGTATAAATTTGATACTAAATTTGAAATACCCAGCTTTGAAAATACCGGTAATGATTGTATGATAGTAAACAAATCATAGGCTTTGGACTCAAATGGGCTTGAGTTCAAATCCTGCTCCTTCAGGTTGCTACTCCATGGCTTTAGAATAAGTTTTCTTAGTTTCTCAGAGCTTCCTAATGTGTAAATCTGGGCTAATAATAACTATTTAATAGAATTACAGGGATTAAATGGGGTGATGTATGGAAAACCCCTAGCCTAGTGACTGGTATTTAATCAGTACCCAACAAATGTTAACCTACTCACTATGGTTACTACGTATGTGTGCCCGTGCCTGCACACACTCTTCTTTAAGAAAGGAAGCAGGGGCTCTAAGAAGAGGAGGTAGTTATAAATTCTGTTTCTAACATTTGGGTAATTATTTAGTGTTTGTGCACACATGCACTTATTTTAAAAAGAGGGAAAAACAAGACGGAATTAGTAGCTTTTTTGTAGTCATTGACTTTACCTCTATTCTGAATCTTTGTCTGAAGTCAAGTGCCTTCATTATGATTTGCTGTTAAACTTAGAACTTCTACAGTCATCTCTGTAGGTAATTTAATCTCTTGTAACCTAAACTGTGCTCAGGAGCTCCTGTGACCTTTATCTACGTGCATCAGAAAAACAGGTTCTTGCTTGGTACAGAGAAGTTAAAATGTATATTGCTTTACCAAGCAGAATGAGTTGCTTTTCTTCTTCAGACATTCCTTTTTCCTAGGATTTTGGTCTTACTAGTATCTTAAAATACGCCAAAATCTATTAAAAGCACTTGACACTTTACCTCATTTAAACCTCACAACATCCCTATGAGGAGATTATTATAGAATTTTTATTTGTATTTTAAAGATGGGAAAACTGAGGCACAGAGACATTAACTTACTTTTGACCAGGGACACACAAGTTAAATGGCAGTTCTGGGATAATACGTGCATTTGGGCTCCAAGGTTTGTACCGTTAACCTGTGTGTTACTGCTCATCCTTTTCTATACTTTTTAATAGTACATTGCTATAATCATATAATTGATTAGGCTTAAGTGTCTTTTCAGAGAAGACTAGAAAGAAGTAAACTAAAATCTTAACTGTATCTGGATGATAGGATTATGAGCAGTTTAAATTTTTCTGTTTTCCTTATTTTGTTAAATGAGTATGTTTATAATCGGAGACCTAAGATCATTTAGGTTCATGAATGCTAAAGCTAGAATGGCCACTAAGATGATTTTGTTCAAATCTCTCAAATGAATAAGCTATAATCCAACAACGATAAATTATTTACTTAAAATTCAGTGCTTCCTTTTCTTAGACCTCTTGTTTCTTTTCTCCTATTTTGCCTCCATTCTTTACTTAGAATATTTTTAAACTAAGTAAGATATTCTCAGATAGCACATATGAATTGGTTTCCTTTTAGAGAGTAATTTGGTGGTATATTTCAGAAGTCTTAGACCTTGCAGTTCCTTCTGCTTGCAGGATTATTGCCTGATGAAGTACTGCAAAGATTTAGCTGCTAGGATCTTTAATGTTGGGGGAAAAATTAGAGGAAAACCTAAACACCCACTGTTAAAGAGATTAAACTTATATACTAGTAAAGTGACATGTTATTTTAATTGTTAATTAAAAATAATATGGGAGAGGGTGTAGCTCAGTGGTAGAGTGCATGCTTAACATACATGAGGTCCTGGATTCAATCCCCAGTACCTCTGTATAAAAATTAAAAAGAAAAAAAGAAAGAAACCTAATTTACCCCTCCCCTCCACAGAAAAAGAAAAAATTCAAAAAAATTATATAGGGGATGAATATTTAATGACATGAGGAGATATTCACAAATGTTTCATTATTAAAACTTAATATTTCATTTAGTTATATGTCACTGTCCCTTCAGAATAGGTAGTACCAACAATTTTAACACAAATTGAAGATTTTTTGGTAAGATATTTCCAGGCCTGTAAAAATTAGCCTGCCCTTTGGATTGAGTGCCCCTGAGGAAACACAGCTGTTACCCAGATTTGGGTGATGGTGGTGATCAACGTGTTAAGGAAATTACAGTAATTTCCAGTTATCTTTATTCCCCCCCAAAAAAAAGTTTTCTTGAAAACATCTTATTTTTTAAAAAAAATTTTTAAGTGATATTTTAATCATCTGGCATTTACCTCAGAAATAATTTATTGAAATACTTTTTGAAGGTGATTGACTATTAAGTTTGAGTGGTAGCTAATGATAGGATTTGTTTTTTTTTTAATCTTTTCACTGTGATTTAAATGAAATTCATCTTTTAATATTATGATCAAAAAAATCAAAGCTGCAGTTCCTCCCCCCTCCTTTTTTTTTTTTTTTTTTGGTTAGCTTTTTAAGATTGTTTCTAAGGGTACCACTAAGCTGCTTTCAGTATAACAAACCAGTTAGTGCATAGTGTCATGGAGGCCAACAATAGAGAAGTTAGAAGGAAGAGCTTGTCATGTTTTCTGTTTTGTTATTTTCATTAAGAACATCTTCCTTTTGAAGTGTATTTTTTTGGTCTCCAGTGCCTGAAGAGGACATGTCGATTTGAAGTCTGAGTAAGAGGCGACTGCTTCCTTTGTGTTTGGGTTGACTGATTAAACAGCCCTGGTTGATGGTGACTTTTTTTTTTAAATCAATCCAGATCTGGTTATATCTTGTGAAGTTTGAGCCTATAACTCAACTGAATTTATTGTTACTCCATACTAAAGTAGTCTTCAGAATATCAAAAGTGAAATACTATGACCACATGAATTATATTTTGTTTTGGACTCTTTTTTTCTTACAGATAGCACAACAATAGAAAAATTAAGAGCTATTTGTTTGGACCATGCCAAACTTGGAGAAAGCAGCCTTAGTCCATCTCTTGACTCGCTTTTCTTTGGTCCTTCAGCCTCACAAGTGCTATACCTAACAGAGGTTGGTTTTTACTTTCTGAATTTATTTCATGCTCTTCAGATTTGACCTTTTAAATGGTAATGTAAAGAACATAGGTAAAATTGTAATGAAATATTTTTGAATTTCAAAATACAGGAAAATTTTAAATCATTGATGGTAAGGAAAATAGAAGTTATCTTTTAAAAACCATTGATACAGTTCTTCTTCTTTTTTCCAGGTAGTCTATGCCTTGTTAATGCCTGCTGGTGCACCTCTGGCTGATGATTCTTCAGATTTTCAATTTCACTTCTTAAAAAGTGGTGGCCTACCCCTTGTCCTGAGTATGCTAACCAGAAACAACTTTCTACCAAATGCAGATATGGAAACTCGAAGGGGTGCCTACCTCAATGCTCTTAAAATAGCGAAGCTGTTGCTTACTGCCATTGGCTACGGCCATGTTCGAGCTGTGGCAGAAGCTTGTCAGCCAGGTGTAGAAGGCGTGAATCCTATGGCATCGGTAATACAGACTTTTAAAAAGACTCTCTATAATAATAATAATAGATGGTGGTTTTTAAAGTTAAACTTCTTAGCAACTTAGCGAAAGTATAGAGTTTAAAGTTAATTCAGAATGTTCCTTTCCAGTGGTCCTTCATTTTAGAGGTTTCCTTCTATTAAAAGTACAAATGCTTTTCACTGACTATACTCTGATAGGACAGTTCTTCCCTGCTCCCTTAAATCCTGTTTGACTTTCAATTATTATTTATATGTTTATTTTTTTGTTGACTAGTAATTGATTTACAATGTTAGTTTCAGGTATGCAACATAGTGATTTGATATTTTGTAGATTATACTCCATATAAACTTACTATAAAATATTGACTATATCTTACATCCTGATAACATTTATTTTATACCTAGTGGTTTGTACCTCTTAATTCCTTTCACCTATCTTAACCCTCCCCCACCTCTATCCTTTCCTGGTAACCACTAGTTGTCTGTTTCTGTTTAGTTATATTTGTTTGTTTTATTTTTTAAATTCCACATATACATGAAAATGTACAGTATTTGTCTTTCTCGGTCTGACTTACTTCATTAAGCATAATACCCTCAGTGTCCATCCCTGTAGTCACAAATGGCAGCTTTCATTCTTTTTATGGCTGAGTAATATTTCATTGTGTGTGTGTATATACACATACACACCACGTTTTCTTTATCTGTTGATGGATACTTAAGTTTCTTCCGTATCTTGGCTATTGTAAATGATGCTGCTGTGAACATTGGGGTTTATATATTTCTTTTCGAATTAGTGTTTTCACTTTCTTTAGATTTATACTCAGGACTGGAATTGCTGGATCAATGTTTGCCAATGACATGATACTATATATAGAAAACCCTAAAGACTCCACCAAAAAAAACTATTAGAACTAATAAGTGAATTTAGTAAAGTTGCAGAATACAATATTAATATACAGAAATTGTTGCATTTTATATACTAATAATGAACAGAGAAATCAAGAAAGCAATCATATCAAAAAAATAAAATACCTAGTAATAAATTTAACCAAGGAAGTGAAAGACCTATTTGAAAACAATAAGATGTTTAAAGGAAGTTGGAATACAAAGAAATGGAAAGATGTCCATGTTCATGGATTGAAAGAATTAATACTGTTAAAACGTTCATACCTACCCAAAGCAATCTACAGATTTAATACAATCCCTATCAAAATATCTCTGACATTTCTTCATGGAACTAGAACAAATAATCCTAAAATTATATGGAACCACAAAAACCCCACATAGACTTTAGTTTATTTTAAACCTTATAAAAACTCCATAGGAATCTTCTTGGCCCAAATCTAGCAGATATATTGACATAGGTGGTAATTAAAAAAAAGATGTACAATTAACTATTGAACATTATGGGTTTGAACTACATGGGTCCACTTACACACAGGCTTTTCACTAAATACTACAGTACTACACAATCCTCGGTTGTATGGAATCACAGATACTCAAGGCCAGCTGTAAAGTTACATGCAGATTTTTGACTGCACAGAGGGTCTTATCTAATCCCCCCATGCTGTTTGGGCGTTAGCTGTAATTGATTTAGCCTATTGCCAGACTCCACACTTTGACAGGCTTAACCTCCAGTTCTGAGCTTATTTTGACTGTCTTTGCTTTGGTGGCATACTTGATCCATTAGATTCCCAAGACATGCTAGAATTTAGTGCCTATTAATGAGAGATCAAAGTATGCATTTGAGTTCCTTTTTATGCATTGTAAGTGATGGTTTACTAAGTTACCAACAGAAGATAAAAGCGTTAGGAATAGAAGCTTTTCTTTTTTAGAAACAGTTTAGGTCTTAGGGAGACTAGAATATTGATTAGATATGTGATATTATAATAATCATATAATTGTGGTAATAGCATTTAGAATTGTTTTAAGTGTGATGATACTGGGATTATGTTTAAAAGGACATAAATAATTTTTAAATAATTATTGAAATATTTACAGATGAAATTTTATGGTAGCTAAGATATGATTCAAAATAATCCTAGGGAGAGGATGGAAAGTGAGGGGGAGTGGTTAGACAAAATAATTCTGGTCCTTTGTTCATAATTGTTGGAGCTAAGCAATGGGTACACGTGAGTTTATAATACTATTCTCTCCACTTTCATATATGTTAGAAATTTTGCACTAAAAAGGATAAAGGAAAAAATATCCTAAGTCTTAAATTGTTTTGTATTGAAGGTACCATGCTTGTTAGGGGATATATATGTATCTATATATATATAGTGTTCTTGTTAAGATAAAAACAGATTCTTATCATTATCCCTGACATGGGTGCTTCATGAAGTACACAGGAAACAACTACATGCTTCCCACTTTTAATTTTCTCTATTTATTCAGAAAATGTGCAGCTGCAGATACAAAGGTACATGATAGCCTCTAATCTCAAGGAGCTCACAGTCAGTGGGAGCTAAAGGCAATAACAGATTTGTTTTAAAAATACTGTTGTAGAAATATTTACAATATAGGGAACAGTAGTTAGAATTTGAAAGGCAGTCAAAATTGTGTGACTAATAACTATTTAAAAGTAATCTTCTTTATGGGCTTAAAAACTTGGTTATAATATTAAACGAAACACTGGTACCTTTTATACATTAGTACTTTTATTCTGTTAGTGATATTCCTTAATTTTTCTCCTTTTCTAAGAAAGATTGGATGACCAGGGTGAATGGGAGCAGGGTCTGCCCAGGGGCATGCATGTTGGAGTACTTCACTGAGTTTCTAATTAGGGTTAGAACCAGTCAGTTCAGTTTATCATTTACCTCTACAAGTTAGGCTGAACCCACATGTAGAGACTCGTTTAACTGATTTAGAATGAGGGTTTGCGGAGGGATATGTGGCACTTGCCTGCAGAAGAAAAAGAAGAGGCCCACATTGTTGGCAATATGAAGAGCTTTTTGTGTAAGTTACCACAGGTTATATAGTGTATACACAGAAGAGGTCATCCTGAGGGAGTGGTGATAAATGAAGAGCAAACGATTTGATCTGGTTATGTACATGGTATTCAAGTAAAATGTTTTATCTTTTTTCAGGTCAACCAAGTTACTCATGATCAAGCAGTGGTGCTACAAAGTGCCCTTCAGAGCATTCCTAATCCCTCATCTGAATGCATGCTTAGAAATGTGTCAATTCGTCTTGCTCAGCAAATATCTGATGAGGTAAGTATTAAACTTTTAAAGGTCTGAAATTCTGAAAGGTTCATTTCTTTCACTTTTGACCCTCTGTTAATATAGAAACAACCCTTATCACAATTTGGAGCTTAATCTTCCTAGGCCCACTCACTTTAATTACTGAGTCTAGATAAAGTTCCTTTAACTTGAATTCTGTCTAATGTTAATATTAGTACTTTCTGGTTTAATCACCTTTATGCACAATGAATAGCATCCTTTTAAAGTATATAGTTTAGTGAATTTTGACAAATACATACATGTGTCAAACCTGTACCACGGACAAGACACAAAACATGTCCATCAGTCTTTTCCATATGCCCCTTTACAGTCTGTTCTTCCCTCTATCCCTGGCCTCAGATAACCATTAATCTTTTGTCACTATATAGTTTTCACTTTTTAGAATTTTATATAAATGGAATCATACACTGTTGTTTTATGTCTGGCTGCTTTTACTCAGAATAATGATTTTGAGAATTATCCTTTTCGTTTCTGAGTAATATCCCATTATGAATATTTCACATTGTATTTATCCATATACTTAGTGAAGGACATTTGAATTGTTTCTCTTTTGGCTGTGAATAAAGCTGCTGTGAACATTCTGTACAAATGCTTGTATGGGCATAGAGTTTTTCTCTTGGGTAAAAAACTAGGAGTGGAATGATTAGATCACATTTATAGTCTTTTTAAGATTCTTCTGAAAGTAGTACAGGGCCAGATAATAACTTGGAAAGCATACTTTGTGGTGTTGCTGTTAAGCAAAGTAATGGGATGAAGGCTACTTGGGAGCCTCAAAACACTGGTACTACTTGGGAGCCATTCCTGTGTCCTTTCAGAGAGAAACATTTTTGCTTTTCTAGTGGTTATTTCACTCTGATACTCTTACCAACAGTTTTATTTACTCATTATCTTGTAGGCTTCAAGATATATGCCTGATATTTGTGTAATTAGAGCTATACAAAAAATTATCTGGGCATCAGGATGTGGAGCATTACAGCTAGTGTTTAGCCCAAATGAAGAAATCACTAAAATTTATGAGAAGGTAAGAATTACCACAGAAATTTATTCTTTTAAAATAAATGTTGTTTAATTGTGCATAAGGCTGAATTACATCTGTCATCTTTAAAAGTCAAATCACATGTATCTTAGTGGTTAAAAATTAATTGGTAGCTATAGTTAAGATGAGTATACAGTAATATTTTACTTTGAAAATAGTTAATTAGTTAATTCAGAATCATGCCATGAGTCTGCTTTTTCTTAATATGCAACTGTCCTTTTCTACTTGTCACTGGGATCAGATATAATTGTTTCATACTGAATTTGCTTTCTCCCGTTCTCTATTCTTTCATCATCTTTCTGTCCTATGTAAATTTTGGTTTAGGTAGCTGTCAGTTGTAGTATCATGGTATTTGAGTATTTTTGACTCTCTTAAAGTAGTCAAAAGTAGAATGTCAGCCAGTTAAGTGTCATCATTGATGTATTAGATTAATCAAAGTACCTACAGAAGAGGGGCTATGTTTGACTCTGATTTTTTTATGTCCCTACCCCTGATAGCTGCTGCTGCATAAATTAAGTTACAGGAGCTTCCCTTTTATGGCCAACATAACCCTGATTTGCCTAGTATATATGCTGGTGTCCTGTAGTATGTCTGGTATAGTGCTGGGTTCAGCTAATATTTTAATTATAATATTCAGCTAATATTTTAATGCCTATTCTTTTTCAGACATGTACTGTAACTGTTACTTATTGATAAATTCAGGTTAGAATTTATTAGCTACTTACCCAGGTATATTTTAGGTTATAAAATCTTCCAACCCTTCATTGAATAATCATCTGAGATGATTGCTTTCAAATAAAATGACACTATGTAGGTAAGGTACATAATGGAACTGGTGAGAAGTAGATACTCTGACTGCAGTGCCAGAGTGATTCTTGAGGAAGGAATAATTGTTGGCGTGGAATTATACAATTCAGAAGGTCTTTAGGAGCCTGAGGGACAAAGAAGCAGGTGGTATCCTCAGTGTGCCCCTTTAGCCCTTCTTGGGATGTAGCAAAATAATAGAATTAGATTTCATCATCTATTAATAGTCATTTCCATACTCTTCCAAAGGAGCCTCAAGAGTTACAGGTAAAAAGGCTGAGGCCAAGTGGTCTAAGTGAGTAGGTAATGTTTTCAGGACAAACCTAAAGTTGTGTGAGATTTTTTTTCTTTACCTCTGGGTGATTTTTCCCTGACTATATTTTTACAGACCAATGCAGGCTGTGATCCAGACTTGGAAGATGAACAGGTTTGCTGTGAAGCATTGGAAGTGATGACGTTATGTTTTGCCTTGATTCCGACAGCCTTAGATGCTCTTAGTAAAGAAAAGGCTTGGCAGACATTCATTATTGACTTACTATTGCACTGTCACAGCAAGTAAGTATGTTTTTTAATTGTAAGAAATTTGATCTTACATTTGTAAGCAGAAATGAGTTCATTTATGCTGGCAAATTTTATCCCAGGAATCAAATATTTATTGTCGCCATAGCACATTAATGTTTAGAAAATTTTTAACTATGTTTTGCCTAGGCCTGAATTTGGTTTTAGTCTCTGCAGAATGCCAACGTTAATTCTCAAAATTAATTTTTCTCTAATTCCAGAATTTAGTTTCACCTAAGAGGTATGTATTTTAGCCCATTTTAAAAATCTAGTTTACAAGATTTAAGTTAAATAGGACATATTAGCTCCCTGTCTTCAATACCTAGAAGCTTAAGTGGTTTTTTTGAAGTTTTTAAGTCAGTATGAAATTCACAAGGCATGATGATGGTAAAGAACTTTTGCATTTTACACTGAGAATGAAAACCGACTATGAAGTCCTCGTTTTTCATTTCAGAAGCATTTAATCAATGATATTAATCTTGTTTCGGGCTTGTTTTTGTGCAAGTCAATCGAATTTGTAGAAAATGTTCATTTCTATCCTCTTACGTCAATCTGATTTTGACCTTTAATAAGGTAACTTTTTAAACTCAAGCTCTAATTAGTGTCACTGTTACATGTAATTACATGCATCTTATGAAAAGACAGAAAATGTTCTCTTTGTTTATTCTGCCACATGCCATTCAACAATGACAGAAATCACTGATGAAAAGTTAGTGTAGGGAGGGTGAGGTATAGTTCAGCAGTAGAGCGTATGCTAAGGTTCAAAGCCCAGTACATCCAAAAAAAAAAAAAAAGTGTAGGGAACCTCACAAAAAAAAAAAAGTTAGTGTAAAGTCACAGTAAGCAATTTGCCGAAATGAATCCTAGTGATAAAGTCTTTTGGGGTTTTGTTTTTGTTTTAAGTGCACATGATGTGAATGGAGTAGGTTCATCTCACTCCATGGAATGCTGTAGAATAATTTAGAGGCCTTAAGTGGGAATCTCTACTATTTTACAGGTTTCTTAGTAATTTCCTTGAAGGCATCTAATTCAGAAAGTCCTTTGATAGGATACCCCCAAATAAGATTGAGCTTACTCTCTCCTTGAGAAGAGTTTATCATCATTGGACAACTCTGTATGTTAATAAAGATAAATAGGTTGAGTAAGTCTGGTTCCACTTAATAACACATTGGATGGAGGGAGGAGAGGAAAGATGGTTAGCCATGAATTTTGATGAAGTCAAGCCTGAAGGTACAAGTTTCTTATTCTGTGATAATTTTTAAATATTAAACTAAATTAGGAACTTATTTCACTTCCTTGGCTACTAAGTATCCTCCTAAGCTTTTGAAAATCCCCATTATAGGAAGTTAGAATCATTTAACTCCTCTCCTCCTTGAAAAATTGTACACAATGAAGTAAAGTACCATATACAGCAATTCTTGTCATTGTGTCTCTGTTATCTTGTCTTTGACAACAAAGGGGGGTCTTCTAACACTAAGATCTTTTTGAGCTTTAGGTATCTGATTTTCTTCTCTAGTACTGATTCTTATCCTGCCCTGCAGTTTTAAGTCATTTTATAAATATCTGAGGTTCAGAATTCCTTGTGAAAATTTGACAGCAAATCTGACCTGAACATAATTGGTTGGCATTACCTTTCTAAATTCTGAATTCCCCAAACATATCTGGCCCCAAAGATTTCAGATAAGACATTGTGGACCTGCATACATGAGCTATCCTTGAGGTAGAGTTTATATTTGAGTGGTTATATTACTAACTAGTGTAGCTGTTTTCAGTACATTTGCCATATATATTTACTCAATTTTATACCAACTCAGAAGTAGACTTTAAATGGCGATGTCATAATTCCTAAATTCAGACTTTTCTCTGTTACATAGTTTACTCTGTATAATTACAATTCACCAGCAAATTATGTGAGTTCCTACTATGTGCTTAACAATGAAAATCCAAAATCAAATAAGATAGTTCTTGTACTTAAGGAACTTTGAGACAGAAGTTAGTGTCATAAAAGTTGAAGTACTTTGAGAATTGGAAGAGGAGTAAGTTACTTTCTACTTGGAACAAGTAAAAGTGAAGTTTCTTGTGCAGAATGTAGCATGTGTGCTCATGTTTGGGTAACATTTATATGTTCATAATAATGGAAAATGGAAATTGGCAGTGCCCTCCTTCTCTCTCACCCTCATTCCCCCTTATGCTGTTTCTGCTTCCTGTAGTTTTGAACTCCATACACTTTCCTCTCCATACTGCTTCTGCCTTCATCTAAGCAACCAGCATCCATTGTCTGGACAGTTGTAATATCCTTAATCTTCCCACCCCTAGTGCTGTCCGACTAAGGTATTGCTCTAATCTGTTGACCGTAGGGAGTGATCTTTGTAAAATATGATCGTGGTGTTTTCCTGCTTACAATCTTTCTGTGTCTTTCCATTGCCTTCGAATTAAGTGTAAACATTTAAATTTGATTTTAAACACTCCACAATTTAGCCTTTGCTTCTGTTCATATGTTTCAATTTCAGTGCCACATTTTCCAGGAGTTTTCCTTATCCCTAGACTTGGAAGGTCTTCCAGACCTCTGCTCCTATTAAAAGAGGTCTGCTTCCATGTAACATTGACCTTATTTTATTGTAATAACTCGCAATTAGATTTGAATTCCTTTAGGTGGATATGTTTATTCTAGCCCCTTTCTGCACCTGTTGCTTTGTACCCTTCCTGTTTAGTTCCTTTATGTTACCTCTCTGATCCATGGAGGCATTTGAGTTTGACATTCCTGACATAGTCCTTTCAGGGCACAGCTGAATAGTCCAGTAGAAGAGGAGAAAAGGATAATGCTGTAAAGGAGATTGCGGAGTCAGTTTACAGAAGGCCTTTGATGCTGAGAACTAAGTAGTGTTAGATTTTAATATAGTAGGCAGTCTCAATAGTAAATAATTTATCAAGTACCTATTATGCAGTGTTCTAGCTCCCAGGGATATAGCAGTAAACAAAACAGATAAAATGTCAGCCTTCTTGGAGTCTGTTTACTACAGGGGGTGGGGAGTAGGAAGGGGAGACATGGGAAAATATGTAATGTTGTAATAAATGCTATCAAGAGAGATAAAGCAGGAATTAGGGATAAGGGGTAGAGAGATCAGTGGAGTTCAGTATTATATAGGATATTCAGGGAAGGCTTCCCTAACAAGGTAACTTTAAACAAAAATTTTTTTGTTTTTTGGTGGGGGGTAATTAGGTTTCTTTATGTATTTTAATTTATTTTTTATTTATTATTATTTTTTTAAGTGGAGGTACTGGGGATTGAACCCAGGACCTTGTGCATACTAAGCATACACTCTACTGCTGAGCTATACCCTCCCCCTAGCAAGGTGACTTTTTTTTTAATAGACTATTTTTTTTAAAGCAGTTTCAGGTTCACAGCAGAATGGAGCAGAAAATACAGAATTCTCACATAGCCCTGCCCACCCACACATATATACTCCCCTACCCTTAACATCCCTCACCAGTGTGGCATATTTGGTACAATCGGTGAACCAACGTGGACACATTATTATCAACCACAGTCCATAGTTTACATTAGGATTCACTTTTGATGTTGTACATTCTGTGGGTTTTGACAAAATGCATAATGACATGTAGCCACCACTGTAGTATCATACAGAATAATTTCATTGTCCTAAGAATCTCTTGTGCTCCATCTATTCATTTCTCAAGGTAACCTTTTAAACAAAACTCTGAAAGAGTGATGAAGTGATCCATGCAGATAATGGGGGAAGTGTATTTTAAGCAGAAGGAACAGATGTAAATGTCCCAAGTCAGGAACATACTTCACATGTTAAAGAACAGCACTGAGGCTAGTGTGGCTGGAACAGCAGGGACTGGGGTGGGGTGGGGAGTTGTAGGAGATACGGTCAGTCAGGCAACCAGGAGCATGTAAAGGTTTTATAGATCATTGTAAAAATATTACTGAAGTCTGCGTGTGTGAGGGAGGATTCACCAAAAACTGATAAGCACCAACTCTTTATAGACCCTCACCCTATTTGGGCTGCATACCTAACTTTTTAAAAAATAAACGAGGGTAGCATGAATGACATATACCTTTGAAAATACAATAAAAGTTAAGGACCTTCTCCCCCAAAAGTAGGTACTCCTGACTTTAATTTATTTGAATTTCACCAAATTCAAACCACAAAACTTTTAAAGGTCTGGTTTCTAAGACTATGTGTGGGTTTCAGAAACCTAAAAATCATCCAGGAGGGAGGTTAATATATGGAATGTATACTATTCTTTACATCAAACTATAAATTTGGTTTTAAGTGCTCTGTCAGCTAGCACAGTGACTGAAACATGGCTATCCATGAAATGTAGTTTGTAATGTCTGTAATATACACAAATGCTGAAACAGCAGGTACTTACTGAGTATCTTCCATATGTCAGACGTTGTTCTAGGTGCCAGGAACTCATGCATCAACAAAGCAAAGCCCTGCCCTGAAAGAGCTTACTTCATAATGGAAATAGACCACCATCTTGTAAACAAACAGTATTTATACATCTAGTATCTGGTTCTTAGTACGTATTATATGCCAGACATCATTCTTCATTCTGGAAGCATAGTTATAAACTAAATAGATGATGTTTTTGCCCTCTTGGAGCACTTATTCTAATGAGATCTGTATAGTATACATATTTTTAAGATTTGGGGGGGTTGTTTTTTTTTATTTTGGGGAGGTTAATTAGGTTTATTTATTTATTTGTTTTTAATGGAAGTACTAGGGATTGAACCCAGGACCTCATGCATGCTAAGCACACACTCTACCACTGAGCTCTACCCTCCTCCAGTATACATATTTTTTTTAAAGATCTTTTTTTCCCAGTGCTGGGACCAGAGACAAGTTTTTCCCATGAGTAATCATAGAATATTGTATAATAACGGTGGTTCTCAATCTTTAGTGCACATTAAAGTCACCTAAAGGAGTTATAAAACAGGTTGCTGGGCCCCACTCCTAGTATTTCTGATCCAGCAGATCTGGGATGGGACCTGAGACAAGTTCTCTGGTGGTGCTGATATGGGTAACATGCTTTGGGAATCACTAGTATAATATAAGGGACATCTGCAGCAACATCCTTAACTGTGTAATTGCAGCAGAATTTTTAACAAATTGTTTGCTCCAGAGCACATTTGAATAAATATTTTATGGAATGCCAAAAAGATGTGTAAGGCTCACTGTACAACTATTATATCTAGAGGAACATTTCCAGCCTGTTCCAAGAAAAGGGTGTTAAATGGTATCCCTTGAACTCTTCAGTGATAACATGAGGTTCTAGTTCTTGACACACAGCCTAAGTTCATCTGTTATATGTTGCTGCTTAAGTGTGTGTTACATATTTTTGTATTTTTACTTTTAATTTACCTACCCCTTAACACACACCCCCAAAAGAGACAGTGTTGGAGTCTTTTTTTTTTTCATGAAAATAATATATTAAATGTGAAATGTTTGTATTTCAGAACTGTTCGCCAGGTGGCACAGGAGCAGTTCTTTTTAATGTGCACCAGATGTTGCATGGGACACAGGCCCCTACTTTTCTTCATTACTCTGCTCTTCACTGTTTTGGGGGTAAGACATTTTGTAATATGCTTATCAATGTGATTCATTCTTTAAACAAGGAATATTCAGAAATTTTTGGTTTTAGCTTGTATTAAATTTAGATCAGTCTATATTTAATAAATAAAATAGTGATTTCCTATACTATTTTAATCATCTACTCTAGTTAACCCTTGGTTTTTAAAAAATGGATTCTAAGCATAGATATATAAATTCTTATTATTCTGTATTGTTTCAGAGCACAGCCAGAGAGAGAGCTAAACATTCAGGCGACTACTTCACTCTTTTAAGGCACCTTCTTAATTATGCTTACAATAGTAATATTAATATACCCAATGCTGAAGTTCTTCTCAATAATGAAATTGACTGGCTTAAAAGAATTAGGGTAAGTTGCATTTAACACTGTGTTTACCATATCAACAGTATTTTATTAATAGATAATTTATAGTTTTGAGCATTTTGATTAAATGAAAAACAAAGAGTAATAAAAAGGACCAAAGAATATACTGTTGATGGATATTAACTCATGATTCACAGGATGAATGCTTAACTAGTTTTGTCATATGCTTTTTCTTTTTACTTAAGACTTGGAATACTGATTTTCAGCTTCTATTTTAGAATCTTGAGGGGGCTTGTTTTGGGGGTTGGTTTTTTTTTTTTTTTACAAATTTTCATTTTTTAGAAAGTATTCTTGAACTGTTTTCATCAAAAAATGAGTCTCATAGACTAGCACTTAATTAATCACTCTTGATCTTAGCACATAATACTTTTTACTTAGAATTATATGAGAATTTATTTCCAAAGAGATTTGTAGCTTTTAGCCTTCAGATTAGCATTTCTTCTACTAGTTTGTAAAGCCTACTTCTAGAAGGTTCTGAAGAGAAAAACTTGCTTAGAATGGAAAGATTTGGAGCAATTACCTCTGTCTAGCCGTCTGTTGTTCTGGTTCCCCCCTCTCTCCCTCCCTTGTATAAGTTAGGCATTTGATTTTTTTCTTTGGCAGGATGATGTTAAAAGAACCGGTGAAACAGGTGTTGAAGAGACAATCTTGGAAGGCCACCTTGGGGTAACAAAAGAATTACTGGCTTTTCAAACCCCTGAGAAAAAGTATCATATTGGTTGTGAAAAAGGAGGTGCTAATCTGATTAAAGTAAGTTCTGTCGTCTTGGTCCTAAGCTAGATGTCATAACCTTCTAAATGCTTATTAGCAAATCTGTCTGATTATAGTATCATGTCTTTGGTGTATTGTCTTGACCTTGTTTTTCTTTTCTGCTTTTAAAGAAACTTTATAGAGGTTATAGTAATTTTTTAAATGTAATTTCTAAATTTTATATTTAAAGAAAATTTCAGTACTGTGTATTTTATGAAGTAAATAAGCAGTGTTTAATTTTTCTATTTAGCAAATATGAACTTTTCATTTCATGAGACTATTTAAAATGAGACAAATCTCTTACTGTATAAGACTGTACCTTATATTTCTTAAATGAGTTTCTTCACATGCAGTAACTCAAGGAAGCAAAAAGTATCATTTTAGGACATTTATTTTTATTCAAAATGAGTTTGGGTATACATGTGATTAAAAGAGTATACTTACTTAAAGGGTGAATTTTGTTAAGTGCTACAGTCAGCTCATTCTTGATAGTTAAATAGTTTGTAACCTGAGAAATTGGGTTGGTTTGTTTATTGTGTAAATATTGTTTTGAAGTGGAGTCTTTTTATTAGAAAATCCAAGTAAATTTTCTGAAGTGTAATGAGATCTTGAATTCTGATGAGTAATTTGACATTATTTTCTTCCCAAAGACATTTCTTTCTTTAAAAATATATACATATACACACATGCGCATATGTAACTTTACATACATGTTTTTATAAAAACATATCTATATCATTGCTAATACATAATCCTTTTTTCAACTTTGTAGGAATTAATTGATGATTTCATCTTCCCTGCATCCAATGTTTACCTGCAGTATATGAGAAATGGAGAACTGCCAGCTGAACAGGCTATTCCAGTCTGTAGTTCACCAGCTACCATTAATGCCGGCTTTGAGTTACTTGTAGCATTAGCTGTTGGCTGTGTAAGGAACCTCAAACAGATAGTAGATTCTTTGACTGAAATGTATTACATTGGCACAGCAATAACTAGTAAGTTTCAAAATACAACATTCTGATGACAGATAATTCTCTAATGTGTTCAGATTCTGTTTTCCTTTTTTTCTTTAGGAAACATCTTCAACTCATGTTTTCCTGTCAGTCAGCAACGAGTTTATCATTTAATACCATTACAAGCAAAGAGTTTTAAAGTAGAAAAATAATCAAATGTTTGTTAAATGTCTTCCTGTATGTAAGTGGTGCAAGTATTTAGCAACAAAATTAATTTCATCTCAGTCAAATCTGGACTGAAACCCAAACTCCAAAGTAGAATAGTCAAAATAAATGCCAGAGTTCAAACTTAAAACTCAAATTACATGCGTTGGGAAACCTTTCAGGCCCTCACTTAGAAGCTCTTTAATGTTATTTTCATATAAATTCAAAGAAAATCTTGTTTTAAAGATTGGATTATGAGAAGATAACATTTTAGTTCACTTTTATGTCCTCAGTTAGTGCTCACATGAAGCCCATGAAATAAACTGTATACTCCAGATCTTACTGATACAGAACTGAGGCTCACAAGGGATGAAGGCAGTATAGAATGGCCAAGACAGTAGAAATAAGAAGGCAAACACAACGGAGGCTGTTCTGTTTTAGGAGAAAACTACTGTTAGTTTACAAAGCTTAAAAGTATATTTGATTATAGTAAATCTTTAAGAATGTC